TGGTTACTGCAAATAACATTTCATTATTTACCTTACTCTAGATAGTTTGACAGTGGATTCAAGGAAATACTACTGTGCTGATTAAGAACAGACATTTTATAAAGATCTTGGAATTTTTTCCTAAAATTTATCTTAGTTATGTATTTTTGATTGGCATTCAAAAAAGTTGGAGGACTGATTAGCATATTTAGATTAGTGATGCAAAACAAGACCTCCCTTTTGAATATCTTAAACATCTCTAAAATTAAAATAGTAATTTGTAACCATATTATCCTTTGCCATGAGACGTCAGCAAATATTATAATGCATTCGCTAATTGGTGTAGGAGGGTTTCAGAAAGTAAATGATAGAATGAGATCATTCACACTCTGAAAAGAAGCCAGTTTCTCAGACAGAAAACATACATAATCTTTTTAAAAGTGCAGTCCCACAGCACTTCATATAAAGGGTGCAAAATGCGAACTCATCTAATTAAGTTTAACAAGAGGAATTGAATTGAACGGACAGAAAGTCCATATTTAACTTTTGTGCCAAGTTCTGTAGTTTTAATTTTTATTTTGGTTGGGGTGGTGGAGCAGTGGTTGCTGCTTGTTCTACTACCCACAATTACCTTAGTTGAAATTTGGCAGAGAGATTGGAATTACCAGTTTTCTCCTTTAGAAAAAGTGACAACAAAATGACAAGTGAATGCTGATCCAAACTCCAAGTCTTTATACTTTATCAGAAGAAAAGGATGGTGTTGTTGATGTTCTTAGATGCTGTTGAGTATAGTATGATTCACAGTGACTTATGAACAATAGACCTAAACCCTTACCTATATGCTCCGTCCTCATCATCTCCACCAAACTGAAGCTCATAGCTGCAAGTCACTGTGTCATCCTCTCTTCCACCATCCCTCCATTTTTCCAAGCATGATGTTCTTTTGTAGGGAGTAGTCTCTCCTTACAACATGTCCAAAATATGAGAGATGAGCTTTGTCATCCAAAGAGTATTCTGGCTGCTCTTTCTCCAACTTATCTCTATTTTTTTTTGGCAGTCTATGAGACATACTCTTCTCCAACAACACAGCTCAGAGCTGTCAGTTCTTCTTCTGTCATCATATTCCTTGTCCTGCTCTCAGAGATGTGGCAAGTGATTGAAAAGACCATAGCCTGAATCAGGCACACGTTAGTCTTCAAACTGACATCATTACTCCTAAATAATTTTTAGAGGTGCCTGATGGTGTACCAAAATGTACAGTAGGTCAAGTACAAGTCCACTGTTCAAGAGCCCAAATATGTAATGTGTCTTCTATAGGGCATGCTCCCTTGCTTCTATGAAACTCTTTCTGCAAATCTCTAAGTTTTGATCTAACAAGAATTGCATAAAGTCATTGTGATATTTTTATAGATTAGCAGATGCAGATATATACTTACCCTCTTTGCTAATTTGAGGATATGTTGCTGATTACAGGAGGAAAAAAGAATGGCTAGTGGTTACAGCAAATGTTCTGGAATTATACTAGCATTGTTGTTTATGAGTAATTTGAACTTCTAGTAAATTAACTAAATACCACACATCTCCAGGTTTTCCATTGCTATGCAGAGGTAGGTAATAAAGAACTCTTTTGGGGGGTTAGAATAAATTTGAAGTCAGATATATATGTGAAAGATGCAATACAGTAAGATCTTTGATAAATGAATAATGAGAAGACAAGGCAGCTTCTGAAATGATCAGACAGAATAAACACTCCTTTCATAACAGGTTATCAAATGAACAAGCAGCGTACAAAAAAATATTCTGTAACATGATTCATCAATAAAAGTAGTAAAATTAGTGGTGTTCCCATCCATCCACCACACCTCTACAATAAGGAAAAGAGCCTAGAACTCCTTGCTGATAAAAGAATCCATTGACATAACTACTTTACCAAAAGGCACGTGTGTCCTAAAGATTAGTATGGCCTAGTCTCTGCTCAAACACTCTACTTGGTACGTGCATCCAATGTTGTTGTTGTTGTTATGTGCTGTCGAGTCTCTTGTGACTCATAGCGACCCTATGTACAACAGCCCTAAACTCTGCTCTGCCTTGTGCCAATCGCACTGTCTCTGACACTCCCACCCCGATTACCCCAGTCACCGAATCAATCCACCTCATAAAGGGCCTTTCCCTCCTGCGCTGTCCCTCCACCCTACCAAGCATGATGTCCTTCTCCAAGGACCAGTCTCTTCTTACAGTATGTCCAAAGTATGTTAGACGGAGCCTCAGAATCCTTACCTCCAAAGTGCCACCCAGTTTAACTCTTTCCAGGATGAATCTGTTTGTTTTCCTAGCAGTCCATGGTACTCTCGGTACTCTCAATACTCTTCTCTAGCACTGCAGCTCAAAGGCATTAATTCTCTTTCTGTCCTCTTTGGTCATTGTCCAACTCTCTGATGCATAGCAAGTGATTGCAAAGACCATGGCCTGTATCAGACGCACCTTAGTCTCCAGAGAGACACCATTGCTCTTCAGCACTTTGGAGAGGTCCCTAACAGCAGACTTTCCCATGGCAATGTGCCCTTTTTTTTTAAAATTTTTTTTTGTTTGGTTTTTTTTTTTTTTTTTGGCAATGTGCCTTTTAATTTCCTGGCTACTGGTGCCAAGAGTGTCCACTGTGGAGCCAAGCAAACTAAAGCTGTGAAAATTCTCAATCTCTTCACCATCCATCCTGATGCTGCCAATTGGTCCAGTGGTGAGAATCTTTGTCTTCTTGACATTGAGCCTCAATCCATATTGGGGGCTATAGTCCTTGACCCTCTGCAGCAGGTGCTTCAGGTTCTCCTCAGTTTCAGCAAGCAGGGTTGTATCATCTGCATAATACAGATTGTTGATAGATTGTGCACCAATCTTGACCCCACATTTCTCCTCATAGAGCCCATCCTTCCAGATAATCTGCTCTGCATACAGGTTGAAAAGGTATGGAGACAGGATGCATCCCTGGCGTACACCCTTCCCAATTTTGAACCATGCAGTGTTCCCATGCTCTGTTCTGATGACTGCCTCCTGGCCCAAGTATAGGTTCACATTAGAATGATCAAGTGTTCTGGGATTCCCATTCTTCTCAGAGTCAGCCACAGTTTGTTATGATCCACACAGTCAATAGTATGTTTTATTTATGTCTCACAATAATTATAAAACAAAATGTTTTCTTTTACCCATGTTTCAATGACACCATTCTTGGAACAATAGTGTGCCAGCAAGAGAGAAGACGACTTTTAGTGAGATGGTTGTGACAATGGGTGTAGGCATAGTGATTGTAGTAATGGGCTGTGGCACAGCAGGCATGGTGAGCATGACATCTGATTGGGCAGGACTTCATGGTGAGCATGGCATCCGATTGGGCAGGGCTTTGCTCTTTTGTCCATAGGGTCACAAAGAGTCAGAGCCTGTCCAGCAGCACCTGACACCATTACAGTGTTTTCACATACAAAGAAGCCGACTGAGGAGTTTGTGTAAAACAATTACACCCTAACCCAATCTGTCTCTACCTTTGGTTATCTATATTTTACTATTGCTATGGTTTTCCTAACAATCTCTCTTACAAACTTGTCCACTGCACAGTGCTCTCTATCTGATAGAGTTGCTTTCAGTATGTCAGTCCTGTAGGTATCCATGGGACATGCAGAAATGATCTGGAAAAAAAGTGAAATTTGTGTTATTTTGGGATTGTAAGTTTATGGATTATAACATACAGGGCCATGGGCAGATGAGAGGGATGGGTGCCCACATTGTGTGATATGAGAAGGAGGAGGAGCAAACAGTGGGATTCTGTTAAAAACAAATGTGTAAGGAATGAGAGAAAAAAATGAGTCCACAAATCTTAAGAGTGAGATGGATTGAGGAGGATTTAGAACTAGTAGAATACTGGGTTTCTTTGCCAAATACTAGTTCCAAAGAGGGAATGCTTAGCAGGATCAAACAACACCAAGGCTTTGGGAAGATAAAGGTTAACTCCCACTATAAATGAATTAGGCAGATATGGAAGACAAACGTGCTGTCCTATATTCTAAATTTTTACCCACCGACCTTGTGTAACTGTTGAGCTCTTGTAATATAGCTAGTACTGATTGAGATATTCTCAAATTGTAAAATGCATATTGGGTTTAAAAGACAGTGTTAAAAAAAGAATATGAAAATCTCAGTCATCATTTTTATACTGAATATGTGTTGAAATACTCTTTAGTTAGGCTTAATCAAAATACATTAATAAAGTTAAATCTTTGTATCCTTTTTCCTTTTTAATGTAGTTAATAGAAAATTTTAAATTATGAATGTGGTCACCAATTGTCTCCAATTATATTTCTCTTGGACAATACTTATGTGAATTATTTTTAAAAAAATACATTTTAAGGAAAAGGAAGATAGTTGGGGGACATTGGAGAAAGGAGAGGAAATTTTTGAAATCTTCTTTATGGTCTCTGGAAAGGAAGAGGAGGAAGGAAAGAGAGAAGATTTGAGCCGTGGAGCGCAGTCTACTGGGAGATGGGCTTGAGAATCAAGTTTGCAGGTGGAGAAATGGGACTGATCTGAAAAATGCATAACATTTTCTGAATTCTGACCAAAGGAATTGAGGATAGACTTAAATGCAAATAAATATGTAGGTGGTGTCAACACAGGAAGCAGAAGGGATATGGATTATTAAAAATGCCATGCTTAATTCATTATTTGGATTAAAACCAGGAGTGGGGTTGATGACTTCAGTGGGGCCACCCAGTCTCTGAAGTTTCTGCTTGTTCAGCTATAATTCGTAGAGGTGAACTAGACTGTCTCACAAATACCTCTATGCCAAATATTTGATGACTTTTTCTTAATTGTAAATTTTTTTTCTCAAGTTAGCATCTTGTGTATTTGTGTTATAAATATTTTGGATCATAAGGTGATTCTTATTTTATAGGAATTCATGAAGTTCAATATTAATGAGTTACCTAATCTGACAATAAAGGACTGTTTCTGACACATGTCTTCATAATTTTCAGGAGAGTTTGATACAGTGCAGAGTCCCTCCACACCCATCAAAGACCTTGATGATAGAGCCTGTCGGAGTTCTGGGTCAAAGTCCCGAGGACGAGGCCGGAAAAACAACCCCTCACCACCACCCGACAGTGACCTGGAGGTATACCAGCTTATCCTTAAAGTACTATTCTTGCAGAATAATTTATTCTATACCTTGTACTTTCATAAAATCTTTTAAAAAAAAAAAAAAGAATATATCATGAACTGAATGCTGCTAATCCACAGTAGACCTCTCTGGTAGCCTAGTGATAAGAAGTTATTCTGCCAACACAAAGGTTGACAGTTCAAATCTATGAGCAGCTTTCTGAAAGAAAAAGAGGCAATCTCTTCTTGTGTGATATAAAATTCTCAAAACTTGCTTGGAGGGTCAATTCTGAGTCAGTTCAGACTTGATGACACATAACAACAATATCAACTTTATAGAGGGCAGTCTGTTGTTGTTGTTATGTGCCATCAAGTCGTTTGCGACTCATAGTGACCCTATGTACAAGAGCTCTAAATGCTGCTCTATCCTGTGCCAACCTCGCCGTCTCAAACACACTCATTTCCCACCACTCCACTCACAGAATCGATCCATCTCATTGAGGGTCTTCCTCTTCTGCGCCGTCCCTCCTCTCTCCCAAACATGATGTCCCTCTCCAAGGACCAGTCCCTCCTTGGAACATGCTCAAAGTATGTCAGACAAAGCTTCAGAATCCTTGACTCCAGGGAACATTCTGTCTTCACCCTCTCCAGGACGAGCCTGTTTGTTCTCCTAGCAGTCTATGGTATATTCAATACTCCTCTGCAACACCACAACTCAAAGGCATCAATTCTTTTTCTGTCATCCCTATTCACTGTCCAACTCTCTGATGCATAGCACGTAATTGCAAAGACCATAGCCTGGATCAGGCACAACTCTGAAATTGGATACTTCTTTCATTTTATTTGATAGAATTAAAGACAATTAAAAAATACTTCTTTCCAAAATCTAAGCATTAGGTGATTGGATTTTTCAATCCAAACTATCACAAATAAAACAGCAATTTTAAAAACAAAGCCACTAACGAGAGGAATTTATTTTGAGAAATAAAATTTCTATTTGGTGGTACTAAAGTAACAGCACTCTTGGCACCAGCAGTCAGGAAATCAAAAGATGAGTTGCATTAGGAAAGACTATTGTCAGGGACCTCTTCAGGGTATTGAAGAGCAACTATGTTGGTCTGGAGAATAAGAGGAGCCTGATATATGCCATGGTCTTCACAATCACTTGCTATGCATCAGAGAGCTGGACAATGACTAAGGATTATAGAAGAAGAATCAATGCCTTTGAGTTGTGGTGCTGGAGAAGAGTTTTGAACATACTGTGGACTGCCAGGAGAACAAACAGGTCAGTTGTGGAGAGGGTAAAACCAAGCTGGTCTCTGGAGGCAAGGATTTTGAAGCTCTGTCTTACATACTTTGGGCAAGTGGCCAAGAGGGACCAGTCCTTTGAGATGAACATCATGCTTGGAAGGGTGGAAGGACAGCACAGGAGAGGAAGACCCCGGATGAGATGTATTGACTCAGTCACTGTGGAGAAATGGGATTAGGTCTTTCGGAGATGATGAGATTGGCTCAGGGTAAAGAAGGGTTCAGAGCTGTTGTACATAGGGCCACTATGAGACACAGGCAACTTGATGGCACAAAATAAGAACAAAGTGATATGATATCCTGGTAGCATCATCAATAGAGAGTTGCACTGCTAATTCAGAAGAAGTACCTTTTTATGGGTTTGGCTCGCCCAGTGGCTCCATGGAAGAAAGGTGAGCAGTCTCCTCCTGTGCAGTTTACAGCCTCTGGAAATTTGCTGAAGGGTCAGCTCTGAGTTTGCTCTGAATCTAAGGCAATGACTTAAAGTAATAAAAGACATTTATATGGCTGAGTAGAGTTTAAAAGATAAAATAAATCCATGTGGGAAAGAAAAGTCATCGTAAAATAAAGAGAATTCTTCAGTCACTTAGCATGCAGCTTGAAATTTTTGTATGTGGGAGGAAGCTCAGGTTATGACATTCTTTCCCATTTGTGAGCTCATTCATGCCAAAACCTCATTGATAAAAAAACCCCCCAAAAAACAAAAACCATCAAGAGACGCAATTAATTCTTAATCAGATATGTAGTTTCTCACACAACTGCATGCGTCAGTTAAGTAAAATAATAATTATCCAGATTTAGTAAAACAAAGTAATTTTATGAGACACAATATCTGTTTTGACTCACACTCGGCCTCTTGGCCTACTTTGGACTGCTGAAGAGGAATGTGGCAGCACTTATAGAGAGAGACTCATCAATAAACTGCATTATGCAAACGACACAACTTTACTTGCTGAAAGTGAGGATTTGGAGCACTTGTTGCAGAAGATTAAGGAATATAGCCTTCAGTATGGATTGTGTCTCAATGTCAAGAAAACAAAGAATCTTACCACTGGTCTAATAGGCAGTGTCATGATGGATGAAAAGGTGATTGAAATTGTCAACAGCTGCATTATTCTTGGATCCACAATTAATACCCTTGGTACAAGCAGTCAGAAAATAAGGAGATGCATTCCACTGGGAAAATCTGCAGTTAGGAGCCTTTTCAAATTATTGAGAAGTAGTGATGTCAGTTTGAGTAATAAGGAACATCTGATTCACACTATGGTCTTTCCAAGAACTAGCTATGCATCCAAGACCTGGACAATTAATAAGGATGACAGCAAAAGAATTAATACCCTTGAGCTGTGGTGTTGGAGAAGAGCACTGAACATTCCATGGATGACAAAGAAAATGAATAGCTGTGGCTTGGAGAGGGTGAGGCTGGAGTGCTCTTTGGAGGCAAAAATGATGAGGCTTTACCTGCTAGGAGGCACTGTTCTTTGGAGAGGGACGTGATGATGTTGGGAAGGGTGGAGGGTCCGCTTGGCAAAGGAGAGGAAGACCCTTCACCTTGTGAATTTATAAGGTGACTGCTGCGATGGGCTTTTGTGTGTCAAGAAGTGTGAGGATGGCGCAGGACAGAACTGGGTTCAGCTCTTTTGTTCATAGGGTCGCTATGAGTCGTACTCGACTTGATGGCACCTAACAACAACAATACCCATTAGCTGATCAATAGCAACAAAATACATGTCTTTAGGAAGCGAGACAGGTGATACAAACTGATAACACAGGCTGAAGAGTTAAGAGGACTCGGAGCTCTGCTAGAATAGTGTACTATTAGGTTATGTACTAACTAAACAGCCACCTTCTCTGGCAGTTTAAATCCACCAGCAGTTTCAAAGAAGCAACATCAGTTGTTTTTTTCCTGATGAAATTTAAATCCTTGATATCCCAGTGGAAGATTGCTATGATTCAGGATCAACTATAATGTGGATTTTTTTTTAGGGAGATTTGGAGATTAGACTTCTAGGAGCATATATTTATTCCAAGGGCTGCACCCGTCCCATATCCAGGCCCTCATTTCCTCACCTTCCAGATTCTTTACTGCAGTGAGAACTCTGTAATTTGTATGAAATCTCTTCTCTTAATTTTGAAATACTAAACTGTGTTAGTCCAGATCTTTCAAGACCCTGTGCAGGCTAAACCATACATCCGATAGTTTAATCTGATCTAAAGGTTTATTTGGGCAAGGAGTTTGAGAAGTTTTTATTTTTTTAAAAAAACAACAACTCTATATTTTTAGTCTAATTATTCACTGTTATAAATGTAATGAATCCATAAAGATAGAACTTTATAGTATCAAGAATTTCAAACATAAGTCTATCATTATATTTAAATATGGATCAAAATCAGAAAGGGAGGGCTTCAGGGATGCATCCTGTCCTCATATCTTTTCAGACTATATGCAGAACAGGTAATACAGGAGGCTGGGCTTTATGAGGAGGGATGTACCATCAGGATTAGAGGAAGACAACCTATGTTATGAAGATGACACAATCTTGCTTACTGAAACCAAGGAGGACCTGAAGTGCTTGCTTCAGAAGATCAAGGACTATAGTCTTGAATATTAATTGAAACTCAACATCAAGAAGACAAAGATTCTCACCACTGGGACAATTGGTAGCAAATTGATAGATGGAGAGGAGATTGAGATTAACAGTTACAGCTTGCTTGGCTCCACAGTTAACAATCTCGGCACCAATAGTCAGGAAATCAAAGACAAATTGCATTAGGTAAATCTGTCAGGGACATTTCAAAGTACTGAGAAGCCACGATGTCAGTCTAGAGACTAAGGTATGCCTGATCCAGGATATGATCTTAGTGATTACTTGTTATGCATTGGAGAGCTGGATAATAACTAAGGCTGATAGAAGAACTGATGCCTTTGAGTTGTTGTGCTGGAGAAAAGTCCTGAACATACCGTGGACCACCAAGAACAAAGAGGTCTGTCTTGGAGAAGGTGATACCAAGTTTCTCCTTGGAAGCTAGGATTTTGAAGATCCATCTTACATACGTTGGTGCTCAGGAGGGACTGGTTCTTAGACATCATGCTTGGAAGGCAGGAGGGACATTGCAGGAGAGGAAGACCCTGAATGAGATGGATTGATAACGGTAACTGGGGCAATTAGGGTAGATGTGTCAGAGTCAGTGAGCCTGGCTTAGGACAGGAGAGGGTTCAGAGCTGTTTTATATAGGATCACTGGTGACTCAATGGCACATAACAACAACAACAAGAACAGTTTTTATAATGATTTGCAAGTCTTTTAAGCTGATCATTATTTCTTTTCAGGTTTTACAATTGCTAAATTAAATATGTGAAGGAAAAATCCTAGTGCTTTAGTATTTTTTGCTGTAAATTTATTTTAGGGTTTTGTCCCACTGTGAAGCAAGATATTCTCTATCTTTAAAGAGATTTCTGTTCCTTAAAACTTGGTAATTGTTTGTTATTTATCTTCTGTGTCTGCAGCGTGTGTTTGTCTGGGACCTGGATGAAACCATCATTGTTTTTCACTCACTTCTCACAGGGTCTTATGCACAAAAGTATGGCAAGGTAAGCAATCACATTTTAATACCAGATATCTTAACAGAACGTGATTTTAACCAACCTCCTAACCAAGGGGGACATAAAAATATTTTTAAAGTGTGTTTAGTAAAGTTTGTTCATTCTTCTCTTGACTGTTTCTAGCGCTTTACTGCTTATTCATGTGCACAATCAGATTTTAGACAAGTAATTAGAATATGAGTTTTTTTTCCTCTATCCTAATTCTGCAGTAAGGCCAAAACTTTTTAGTCTAACATAATTATTTTAGGAAAAATATGTTTGAAAATGTAAGTGGAGATTATAACATTATTGTTGTTGTTGTTGTTGTTGTGGGCCATCAACTTGGAACTAACCCATAGCAGACCCTCTAGAGCGTTTTCAGAGGCTGAAAAGCACAGGGGAGGAAATTGTCCATCCTTCTCCAACAGAACAGCTGGTGGATTCACATTGCTTACCTATGAGATTGCAGAACCGTTTCTTACCACCACGCCACCAAAAACATTTAAGACTCATGTATATCATCTGCTAAGGGCACTTTAAGAAACTTACTTTTACACCCAATATGTCTCTAGTAGAATGCTGTTTGAAATACACAGTTCTTTTATCTGGAAATCTTTGAATTTATGAATAAACAATGTTTATGACTTGTAAAGTGGTAAACATCTACTTGAAATAATATTCTACTCATAAATACACACATACACACACACTCTCATATTTAGAGTCACATGGAATTATTACTTACCATACTTTCTTGTTTTGCCTTTGTTTTCACAATTAACTTCTTATTCTGGCATTGTGTAATGCGATTGCTTTTTACAAATTGTGATACATTTAAATTGGTCTTTCCTCCAGAGATCATTTTTTCTGTAGCCTAGTTTCTAAGTACATTTCAGAACTCCTTGTCCTGTCTTTAATTACCATATTCAAATTTTTTGATATCTTATATTTTAACATCAAGAAGACAAAGGTCCTTACCACGGGGCCAGTGGACACCATCATGATAGATGGAGAAAGGATTGAAATAGTTAACGATTTCATCTTGCTTGGATTCACCCTTGGTACCAGCAGTCAAGAGAAACAGAGATGTATTGCTTTGGGCAGGTCCACTGTCAAGGATCTCTCCAAGGTACTGCAGAGGAGTAATGTCAGTTTGAAGACTAAGGTGCGCCTGACTCTTTTCAATCACTTGCTGTTCATCTGAGAGCTGCACGATGAATAATGATGACAGAAGAATAATTGATGCATTTGAGTTATAATGTTGGAGAAGAGTACTGAATATCCTATAGACATCCAAAAGAATGAATAGGTATGTATTGGAAAAGGTGCAGCAGGAGTGTTCCTTCGAGGCAAGGATCACAAAGCTTCATCTCTCATACTTTGGACAAGATGCTAGGTGAGGCTATTCCCTGGAAAAACTATATCATGCTTAGAAGAGTGGAACGTCACTGAAAGAGAGGAAGACTTCAGTCAAGAGAGATTGGTACAGTGACTACAGTAATGGCTTCAAATGTATCAGAGACGGTGAGGATGGCACAGGATAGGATGAAATTCATGGCTGTCGTTCACAGGGCCGCTATGAGTTTTATTCAACTTGACAGCACCTAACAGCAACAATAATATTTAAACTGCTTATTTTACATATCACAATTACAAGTTTCTCTGTTTCATAACTATGAATGTATACATTTGATTGTATCTAGTGTCAGTTTAATATATTGTCTTTAGTAATTATGTAAACAGTTATCTTAAAATAAATGATGAACTGGGGTAATAAATCACATCAGGAATTATCTCTGAATCATATGCTTGGTGAATCTGCATTTCTACTTTTAAAAAGATTATACTTAATTACATACAAAATTGCATACATTGCATCTTACAAATTCCTTCAGTCACGTTGTGTTTCATGCAATTATTCTATACATTGCATTATATAAAATTAATAACTATTAAAAAATTAATCATGATTGACCTGTATGGCTAGGCAAGGCTATTCCTTGGAAAAGATCATCATGATTGGAAACATGGAGGGTCAGTGAAGGAGAGGAAGACCCCAAATGAGACGGAGTGACACTGTGACTTCAGGGATGAGCTCTAGTGTATCAGAGAGAATGAGGATGCCAGAGGATAGGACAGGTTTCAGAATAGCTGTTCATGGTGTCACACTCAACTTGTCAGCACCTAACAACAACACCCAAGAGAACAAATAGGTCTTTCCTAGAAAGAGTGAAACCTGATTAATCCTTGGAGGCAAAGATTTTGACCTCTTTCTCATATACTTTGGGCATGTTATCAAGAGGGACCAGTCCTTGGAGAAGGACATCATGCTTAAAAGGATATAGGGTCAGTGCAGAATAAGAAGACCCTGGATAAGATGGGTTGACACAGTGACTTTGGCAATGAGGTCAGGTGTGTCAGAGTGGTGAGTTTGGCTCAAGATAGAGCAAGGCTCAAAGCCATTGCTTATTAATTCACTACGAGTCCTACTTGACTTAACAACACATTACAACATAAATAGATCTGGAATGACACCCAGAGTTGATGATAATGCTGTATACAATGTAAAACATTGCCAGAATATAATCTAAAGCATTTCTGCTGAATAGCATTGGTGTATCATGAGTTTTTGTTGTTGTTATGTGTCGTCCAGTCACCTGTGATTCATAGAGACTCTATGTACAAAAGCTCTGAACCCTGCTCTGTTCTGAGCCAACATCACTATCTCTGACACACCTACCCTCATTACCCCAGTCACTGAGTTAATCCATCTCTTCAGGGGTCTTCCTCTCTTGTGCTGTCCCTCCACCCACTCAACCATGATATCTCTCTCCAAGGACTGGTTCCTCCTTGAAACATGCCCCAAAAATGTCAAACAGAGCTTCAGAATCCTTGCCTTCAAGGAAGAGCCTGATTTCACCCTCTTAAGGATGAATGTGTTTACTCGCTTAGCAATCTAGGGTTTATTCAACACTCTTCTCCAGCACCACAGCCGAAAGGCATCAATTTCCCTTCTATCATCTGTAGTCATTGTCCAGTTTTCTGATGCATAGTACATAATTGTAAAGAACATGGCCTGAATCACGTGCACCTTAGTGTCCAGGCTGATATCATTGCTCTTCAGTATTCTGGAGATGTCCCTGACAGCAGACTTAACCAGTTCAGTTTGTCTTTTGATTTCCTGGCTGCTAGTACTAAGAGTGTTGATTGTGGAGCCAAGCAAACTGAAGGTGTTAACAATCTCAATCTCTTCACTGTCTATCATGATACTGCCAGTTGATCCAGTAGTAAGAGTCTTTGTTTTCTGGATGTTGAGCTTCAATCCACAAAGAAGGCTACAGTCCTTGACCTTCTGCAGCAAGTGCTTCAGGTCCTACTCAGTTTCAGCAAGCAACATTATTTCACCTGCATAATGTTTGTTGTTGATGAATCTTCCTCACATTCCTCCTTGTAGAGCCCAGCCTCCCAGATGATCTATTCTGCATATAGATTTAAAAGATATGGAGTTAGGACATATCCTAGCATATAATCTTCCTGATTTTGAATCATGAAGTATTTCCTGTCTCTGTTCTGATGACTACCTCTTGATTCAAGTATAGGTTTCATATAAGCATAATCAAGTGTTCTAGGATTCCTATTCTTCTCAGAGTCAGCCACAGTTTGTTGTGATCCACACTGTCAAATGCCTTTGCATAGTCAATGAAACACAGACATTCCTCTGTTACCCTTTGCTTTCAGCCAAGATCTAACATCAGCTATAATATCTCTAGTATCGTGATCTCTTCTAAACCAAGCCTACACTTCTGGCAGTTCTCAGTTTATGTGCTGTTTCAGTAATTTTTGGATAATTTTCAGCTAAATCTTGCCTGCATGTGATATTAATGATATTGTTTCATCATAATTTCTGTACTCTGTTGGGTCACCTTTCTTTGGAATGTGAACAAATATAGATCTCTTCCAGTCAGTTGACCAGGTGGTTGTCCTCCAGATTTCTTGGCACAATTTGTTAAGCACATTGAGGACAGCAAATGTTTGTTGAAATATGTCAGTTGGTATACCATCAATTCCTGCCTTGTTTATTGCCAGTTCCTTCACAGCAGCTTGAACTTCTTCACCACCACAGGCTCTTGCTCATATATTGCTTCATGAAATTTTTCTGTGTCAGCCAATTCTTTTTGGTACAAAAAGTCCGTATACTCCTTACATATTTTGATGATTCCTGGATCATTTAATATTCTGCCCAAAGCATTCTTAAGTATTGCAACTTGAGGCTTGAGTAATACATTTTTTGAACTGATTATAATATTTATGTGAAGCAAAGCTCTGTATTAAATATATGTTTAACATAAACAGTCTAACTTGAAAACCTGGATCCAAATAAACTTACATTAAATAATCCTATTTAGAGGCTAGACCTAAATGTTGTTGTTATGTGCCATCAAGTCACTTGCAACTCATAGCGACCCTATGTACAACAGCCCTAAACTCTGTTTTGTTCTGTGCCAATCACACTGTCTCTGACACTCCCATCCTAATTACCCCAGTCACTGAATCAATCCACCTCATAGAGGACCTTCCCCTCCTGCACTGTCCCTCCACCTTCCCAAGCATGATGTCCCTCTCCAAGGACCAGTCTCTCCTCACAACATGTCCAAAGTATGTTAGACGGAGCCTCAGAATCCTTGCCTCCAAAGAGCCACCCAGTTTAACCCTTTCCAGAATGAATCTGTTTGTTTTCCTAGCACTCCATGGTACCCTCAATACTCTTCTCCAGCACCACAGCTCAAAGGCATCAATTCTCCTTCTATCCTCCTTGGTCATTGTCCAACTCTCTGATGCATAACAAGTGATAGCGAAGACCGTGGCCTGTATCAGACGCACCTTAGTCTCCAGAGAGACACCATTGCTCTTCAGTGCTTTGGAGAGGTCCCTAATAGCAGACTTTCCCATGGTAATGTGTCTTTTAATTTCTATGATAAATCCATAATGCCACATTAATGGAACACGTC